ATGGATGGTTTGATTTCACGATGTATGGATTTCGCACGATTGAATATCCTCATATTACATTTATTTTAACGTTTGATTTTACTTCAAGGCAAATTGTCAAAGATCTATTGAATCGTAGTTGGTTATCCATTACAAATATCCCATTAATATATAACTTTGGAGGATGTAAGTATATTGATTTAGGACACACTAAAGACGTCATACTGAAGAATCAGGTCTTTATCATCCGTAATCTATTTATTTATTTCAAATGGCAGGCTTATGATAGTCATCATTAGCCATTTAGCATACTTCGGGCTTCACAGAGGAGAGGAGGGACAGAAAAGTGTTTCCAGGATGCAAAAGAGATAGTCAGACACAAAGGCAGAGAAAAGGTAAGGTGAGTACTGTGTAGTGGTGATACATGACATACAGTCGGGTCGTGGTAGTTAGAAGTCTGAAGTCAACTGCCGGCTAATATTCCAAGCCTGTTGCTCAAACCCAAGCAACGCTGCTTACTACAAGGACCACGAATGAATGACCAAGTAGCAAAAACCAAAGAAAAATTTATTTTCTTTTAAACTTAATTTGGCTTCTTATTTAGGCTTGAAAATCTTGTTTTCTCTAGTATTTGGTTACCTGTTTTGCAAAACAAAATGTCACTTTTAGAAATGGAACTGAAACGTAGTGTTTATATTTTCTTTGATTTAGTCAACCTGGAAATATGCGGTGTCTTAGTCATGTCAATTGTCAAGTGTCAAGGAAGAATGCACTTCCCTTTCAGTGACAAATCTCCGCAGCCATCGGTTACTTAAAGTTTTGAGTGGATAAAGTTGTCGGAACACCTCCTATATCATTAAAATGAGCAATTTTAAGGTGAAAAGCAAAGTCTCTATAGGGATATTTCAAGTCAGGGACACGAGTCCTTAACACCTCAGTAGGTACTTCAGTCAGTTATAGCTGCCTATTACATATAAAATTATGTCCCTACTCCATTGAATATTTGTAAGAAGCCTTAGAAACCATTATTCTTGCCTTTTGAATATCAAATAAAGGTGGACAATACTTTTCATCCCTCAAGGTTAGAGGCAAGGTTGAGAAAGCACTCCTTACGAGTTATAGCTAAAAATGATTTTCTATTTGGACAACTCGAATTCAAGGGAATGCACTTTGGAGATTTCCCTTTGCTTTTGATGGGCTATAAAAATGGGCAGCAATGTATATTTTCAAACGAAAAAATAATATTTTAAAATTTTTGCATACGTTTTGTCCGAGGCTTCCAGAAAACAGACTATTAAGTTACAATGTACGGAGAACTTATTCTTGGCGCTTTTCGCAATACTCTATAATTTTGCCATGTTAAGCCGTGTTCTCGCATTAACTCACTGTTTAAGTCCTTGAATTATGTAGAAAAAACTAAATATCTTTTCAAACAAATCGAAATGAATCAACGCAAAAAAGTGGGGAAGAATAATGCCAAAACTACTGACGGACCATTTTTACCTGCCAAATGGAGTCAAGTTTCTATTGACAGTTTGAATGGGAATATAAGTCCTGCTCACTTCATTTAAATCAAAAATACCAGTCTTCCGTTCGATTTGAAAAGCAATTTTTTCAATCAAATGAAGTTTAAACGGTATTATCTATGGAATGACATTGCTTTTAAATCGCTAATTATTTAAATAAATCATATATTTTTTCCCTGAAATTGCGTTACTTTAAAAGGGATCAAATCTTCGGTTATTCGTTTTCATGCAAATAAGTTTTTAAAGCTTGCGCCACCCAAATGCTTTTAGCCTATATTCTGTGCCAACAGTGTAGAAATCAGAACCTCAGCTATGGTGTTCTGAGAAAGTTAAAAAAGTGCAGTCTTACAAGATTTGCGAATGAAAGGAGTTAAAATATTTATTGAGCTAATTGAAACGACAAGGAGATTATTAGAGGAAGGTACTAAGCAATTTGATTAAACAAGATGGATTTAGTGCGTATCTATGTCTGCAGTGTTTTCGAATCTTCAAAAATTTTAAATGAATATATTTGGATTGATTTTTGTAATAATTAGCAGAACATGTGATGATGTTTTGAATCTTAGATAAATTGACCGAACAGACGGGAATGGAATACGGAGATGGGAAAAATTTCGGGCAGAGAGCCGAATGTCTCGTTTCATGTCTCGTGATACAAACAAAATTCTTTGATTTATTACCACCTTTGCTTGGAATTCTAACATTTTTATCTGAAGTGTTCACATTAGAAATAGTTTTGTTGAAAAAGTAAGTTTCTAAGTTGAGGAATTATCTAAGGTACCATTTTCTTTCAGGACCTAAGTATAAAACTTATCGGAAACCATTTCTTATCATGTGAAAGGTAAATACATGCTGTAAGAGTTTTATAAAGGCATCGATGAATATGATAGTACTTAGGAGCAGCCGAGAAGTTTGATTACTCAACAAGTCTACAATTTTTACTACTAAAAACAAGATAAAGCAATTCTGGAAATTGAGACGTCTAATTATGGCTGCAGATTGGCAATTAGATCTCCTTTGCTAAAAGGTTAAAGAATGAACTGGACTAAACGCTATTGACATGAGCTACTCAAATTTCTGCGTTTAGGCTCCTTAATCGACACAATTATTATGCACGGATTTTACAAAGCTAATTGCTCTTGGAGAATTCATTTATTTGCCTGGCACAATTACCATTTGTCTAATGGTCATTTATAGACTTGCTTTGGGAGAGAGCTAGCTTGCAAAATTCCGATTCGACTGCACGAATAAATAGACACGAAGCATAATCTTGCTTTTTTCCTCATTTGCATACGCGTTAATTCAAAATAATGTTAGAAGTCGTGTGACAGGCGTGTAGCAGGGACCAACCCCCTTACAGATAAGCAAGTTGACGTAAAGGCGCTCTAGTCATTTGACCAAAAAAGTGAGTGCTTTTAAGCTAATGCTATTCAATTTTTGATGGGCACAACTGTATATCCGAAGTGACCAGACAAGAAATAGGCGTCTCTGAAATAGTCAACTGGTTTACATTTGAAATAAAATAAAATACGTGGCCTAGCAATGATGACTAATTTAGATCTCTTAATGTCACTTTAATCGAAATCAAACTGAGACAGAGAGAGAGAGAGAGAAATGATCTAGTTCAGGCATGCAGAGATGTGTAGTAAAAAGTCTATAGGAGTCAAAATGAGAACTATCGGCTTCTCAATAATTAATAACAGTCTAAATTGAATGTAATTCTACTTTGTCTTAGCACTGTACATGTTGCTAGAAGTTTTAAATAACGAGTATTTCCTTAATTTCACAACTTTGAAGACCAAATTCTCGGAGGCTTTAAAATCTGTAAAATTTAAAATCGCAGTGTCATTTAGGTAATTATATCCTTTACAATAGCTATTTAGGAGTTAAAGACTAGACAGTTTTTCCGAGACACAGAAAAAATATACTGCTGAAAAGTCAACCTGTGAAACCGTCTTTGATTTCAAAATGTGTTGGCCAAAACACTGTGCAAACATTTTGTTTCAAGTCTAAAATATGCTTCATTTCTGTTTTCGAAAGTTTTAATTTCAGCTTATTTAGTTGGCAAGAAAATGCTCGCATACAACGAATGTTGCAGTAGTTGAAATTTGATAACAGTTCTTACAAAATGAAAATACATTTTGATCATTAGCAAACAGAAATCAAACAATATTTAAAATCATGTGATTTTTTTCCATTTGGGTCTTTTTTGTCCATCATCAATTTGATAAAATATGTTGACAAGATTAAGCAAACCTCTTTCATTGGCTGCCCAGATTACTTTGTAATCAGCTGAAAAAAGTTATTTTTTATAATTGAATGGCAAGTTTTTAGTTGGAATGAATGGTTTCCGGTGGTGTTCTCACTGTCGCTCCTCCTAACTCTTCTTATTGGTTTATGAACTTGACACTTAATGGAAGCAGAAAATAAACAGGTTTTGAAAGCCATGCACCAATAAAATTATTTGTCGATTAAATGGTGTCTAGATTTGTTTGTTAACACCTTCATTTTACGACTGTGTCTACTAATCAACTTGACATCCTAGTACTTCAACTGAATATAAGATTGCACCTTCTATACAACGTGCCTCATTCAAATATCTTTTTGTTCTTGAGCTCAAATGCCAACCACTTTAGGCTGGTCAAAGGTTTTGTATATTCTAGATGGCTATGATCTGAGTTACCTAACCACCGTGACTGTGAAATTAGCATGGATTAACAAATTTGTCTGCTGCATTTGTACCGATCTGGACGTATCTATACCTCCAAGCCACCACATCTGTACGAAAGGTCCTTGAAGTCTCTGTATATCTTATTCTCACATTTCCAATAACTTAGAACACCTAAGTTTTTGTAATGGTTGAACGGAATTCCATATGCGAAAAATGAATTGATTACTCAACGATTGAGCCTTATTGCAATCAAAGCATTGTCTCAGTGCTAATTAGCCAATTCACTTTTGAGGTCTAATTTTTACCCTTGTGGAATAGCACTCTTCCAAATTCAATCGTCTCAGTTGCTTGACCGCGTTATTGGAATTAAGTATTAGTATCCTATTTTATTATCCAATAACTATAGTTTCAAAGCTGAATACTATTTTTGATGATTCTTAATTAGAGAATGAGATGGATGCTCTGGAAATAAATTATATTATTGACAATGTCAATAATTCGTCCGTAATGAGCAGTGCCTCTAATTGACCACGCTTTCTATTATAATCTCCTTTAAAAGATTAAATTAATTACTTAAGCCAATTAACTAATGGGCTTCCTTCATTTGAGAAAGAAATTCTCCACTTTCACATAATTTTATAGATAAAATAATCCGAGCGTTCAAAATATGCCAAATACGGTATGACTTTGGGGCTGTAGGATGTGAATTATAAAAGGAGAACGGATTTTTGTTTTGCATAAATTGAACTCATTGGCGGGTGAAAATTAGAAGGCTATTTGATCAGAATGCATTAGAGAAGAAGAATTGAATCCAAAAGACTGACTCATCGAAAACAATTTAATCGTGGACCTTGACAGATAATTCGTCGAAAGGCACAGCGGAACTCCTTAGAGAATATGGTGTAGATGATGGGGTTGAGTAATGAATTTGTATAGCCTAACCAAAGTAAAAATGACACACCAACTGGATGTATTCGACCAATAAACGGAGAGAGTAGGGCATTGAGATTGAAAGGCAACCAACATAGAACAAAGCATCCCGTAATTATGGCCAGAGTTCGCACAGTCTTCCTTTCACGCTTTTGCTCAATACGTTCTCGCATATAACGCTCCTCTTCTTGTCTGATTTCCAGATCTGGTTCATTGACTGATAAATGCTTCATCACTTCTGTGGCCTTCTTATTCAACACAACGCTCTGCTCAAGCCAACGCTGCTGGCGCTTCCTTTTGTAGTACATACTCAGGGGAAGGAAATTCTTCATCGGTTTTTGAGGGTCATCATTTCTACTTACACTTTCTAATTCTCTAGAATCTGAATTGTGCATCAAGGTAGAATACACACTTGAGGAAAGCGAATTGGGTTTAGAATTCTCATCGGCAAAGAGGATGGAGGAATGATTGGTGTATATTGACGCATCTTGGGAGACCGTCGTGTCGGGATTTAAAGCGTTTGCATTGATTTCCTTCTTTTTATGATAATTTCTAATGATTTCATATGTTAGTGCACGAATTTTAATCGCCTTTTCGTCTTCATCGCTTGACACTTCTTCAAAGGTAGAGTTCTTAACAGCGCTAAGTGTATTTAACTGGAAGGTCTCATCACTTCCTGAACTTTCATAGTCACAATTTCCCCATTCGGGTTCTTTTGTGGTTCTGATCATTGTCGCCGCAATTTTCATGGCCGAAACTGCTGCAGCAACTACTGTTTCAGGTGGTTCTGCTGTTGTAGTTATTGTCGGTTTTTCAGATGAACTTGAACACTGAAATTCTGAACGTCTCGTTAAACCGAGTTTAAACATAGTACCGCCTTTGTGAAACTTGGTCTCCATTACGTATCCACAGCAGTGGCAACAGTACTGGTGACCTTCTTTGCCTTCAGGAGTAATTGGGGGTTGATAGACAAAATTATTCTTCTTGCTCGTTTCATTTGCTGCATTATTGGAATTAGTGTGATACTTTGAAAAGTGCTTTTTTCGTATATGCTTTCGTGCAGCAAAGTAAATTCGCACATACATTAGGACAGTGAAGATCATTGGTATATCGAAGGCAAGTAGATTAGAGTAAATAGTAAATCCCTTCTCCATGTTGACTTCGCACACCCCATTGTAAATGACCTCAGGGATTACGAGATTACGCCTCGGATGAAAGCGTGCAGGAAGGCTAACCATTGCTGCAAGGATCCAGCATATGCCAATCATGATTAGAATGAAGCTTGCAGGCCGATGTCGAAGGTAGGCAAGATTGCTCACCGCTAGAGCCCGTTCGATTGCAATTGCACAGAGATGGAGTGTTGAGGCTGTACATAACAATACGTCCGCGCATATCCAAAGATCGCATAGAGGTAATCCTGGGGAAAATAAAAAATAGATAAAGTAGACAATTTTAATAAATTACTAACGGCAATTTAATATTTCTGAACCAATTCAATAAATTTGTATTATTTATTATTCATTTGTTTTCAAGCATCCACTTAAAAACGTATACAAGAGAACCAACTTTGGATAATGAATGGTATTTAAATTTTGGCGAAGAAGAGGGTTTCGGACTGGAAATATATATATCAAATTATTGAATAGAAACTTGTTAAATCGTTAGCACCTTTAAAAAAAGATGTCCTTTCAAATAATTCCTTGTTCACATTTATAAAATAATAAGAATGATTTGAAAAGCTTATGGTAGATTTTCACAAAAAACTGATATAACTCTCAACGGAGAAGCATTAAAATATAAATCAGGGACTAGTAATAATTCCTTTTGCTTCCTTTTCTGGAGTACTTCAGGAGTTTTATGAGTGTTTGTCGGAGAGTTTTGGTTAGTTGATCAGCTCGGAATGAATTCTTGATGAAAATCTTTCAACTCGCTCACGTAAATCATATCTTGCCCGCTCAGTACAGTGCGATATATTCTTGCTCCTATTCCAATTGTACTTCTTATTTCTTTCTCGTCTTGTCTCCTAATCATTCAGAAGTGTCAAATATTGACAAGTGGTAACTTAGTAGAAAATGCTGTTGCTTGCAATAGGTATTGGTGAGAACACCTCATCTTGAACGAGTTATCTCAGATGGAGAAATAGTAAATTAAATTATTGAAACTGGTGCAACTTAATATGACAGATGTATTGAGATCATTTTTTTCGTTTTTTAAAATTCTTTTGTAAGGTTTTGGCAATATTTCTTTCTTAATAGGTGAATGGCAAGCGTACAGGGCGCATTATTAATCAAAGGCCCTAAGTCGGTCATAGATGAGATACAGTGCAGTTGCATAATCAAAAATCTGTCATTAACTTAGATTTATAAAATTTCAGCCTGCATTGAGAATGCAAATCGATTCATTCGTGGTTGAAAATCGCTATTGCAATTATTTTTCATACTGCACATTTTATTTCTTGTGATGCTAGCTAATTCATGTTATGGGTATCCAGGACTTGTTGAAAGTTGAGGAAATTTGATGGTTAATCCATATATTCAGGCATATTTTCACATTCAAATAGTCGCACTATTGATAGATTTATATAGGGTGTCAATATTTCTCTAAAATTTAATTAAGTTTAATACTAAGCTTTATTAAAATTTATTTAAGATACAGCTGCTTGGGCACAAGGTGAAGACATTTATTTTAGCTCAAATGCCGATTTCCTATCAGAAAGTTCTGTTTATACACAAATTGATAAATATTTTTTCCTGAGTAACCAATATTTCAAGTGAATATTTCTCCACAGGGAGTTGACACAACTAGATAAACAAACATTTAGTGCCTGGGAGGTAGAAACTGCAACAAAATATTTGATCTGGCTTCCAATCATCCAATTCTTAAAGTTGACAGTCAAAATTGTTCCCATTTCGCCAAACTAGTTAAAAACAGCATGTATTTTACTACAAGGTGCTAACACTATATTAATTCTAACCATTGTTCCAAAAACTGTTGATTCGGTGAATTTTTAATGATTTTTCCTTTCCATAACTCATAAAATGTATAAATAGAAATATTCTGAATCATTAATTTTGTATATTATTTAGCGTGAACATATGTCTATGAAGTTAATTAATTTCAAAACGACACTCTGTTGTGAGCACTGATGAGGAGATAGCTATCAATTTACTTCTTTATAACGCTTTACTTACATTATTCACCTTATTTATTAGGAAATATTTAGAAAAAAAAGAATGTAACCGAAATTTCATTTGTAACGCACTGGCAAATTGCTTAAAATTTCTTACATCTATGCCAGCAAACTAATGATTTGGAAATTTAAACGTATGAAGTAAGGAGCAAGTATTTAATGAATATTCTTTACTTTTTAAGTGCAAATGAGATAAAATAAATGATAGTAAATTAGTCATATCATTAATTTGAATATAGTAAGTAAATTTAAATATGAGAAATCTGGTTAAATTTCAATGATAGACTCCACTAATTTTAACATTTTAAATAAATAAATACTGATTTTGATATCCTAGTGAAGAATTATCAAGACAGTCACTGACATAAATTATCGCTATAAAATAGAAAACCATATGACATACTTTGTAAGTTTCATATAAATAGAATAACTTTTTTCATTATGTGTACTATAATTGCACGTCAAATTTACACACTTCGATCAATCTATTGAGTAATAATGGCCTTTCATTTTTCACTGATGCGAAGTCATTGAATTGGTAAAATCATGAATTCAATTCAATAAATTAATCATTAACTTCTGAAAGTCAGGAGGCATTGAGAGGAATGACAGCTTTTTGAAAATGATTGAATTAAGCTTAAGGAATTAATTGTATGCATTCCCATAACTCTTTCAAAATTTTTTAAACTTTCAAAATTTTTGAATTGTTAAAACTATATGAAGTAGCAAAGTCGAATATCACCATTAATCGATCGGCCAAAAGTACCCGTAAAATATGGTCAAAAATATGCTCCAAACCAGAGAGGGGAACTTGCAGTTACTTGACTATTGAGTGAACGAATTCAATGACTCAAATGATCTGAGTTTTTTGAAGCCTATTTTTAGTAATTATTCTACATGTCAATAAAAAGAATCAGCAAGCTTGTACGATTAGAGTAAAAATGTCATAATAATAAAAAAACTGTTTATTATTTTTTTAACAAATTTTTTTGAGTTTCTTGAGACCCAGTTGATCACGCATTGGAAGGGACTTGGTAATATTGCAAGTCAAATTCAGTAAGAATATCAATCAAATGAAATTTTAACCAAATAAATGGCTCATCTTAACTTATCTCATCGAGAAAAAAATAATCTATCTATTGGATGTAAATGGAAAATAAACAAATAGCCATTTTTCTAAAGTGGGCAAAGATAAAGTGTCACAGAACTGTTTAAAAACTTATTAAGGGAAAACTACTCCTATATATGCATATATATGGTTAGAAAAATGGTTTTACTGTGAGGAATTTTGCTTGAATAATAATCAATTACATTAGGATCATTGGTCATAATAATGACTAGAACCTATATAGTTCAATCTTCTTGACAATGATTGAAATCGTCTCGAAAATCCAACAATAATTGTTGATCATTTTGGATTTCTCAGTTATGATTTTATACCACTTTGTACCACTTATTGAAATGAAATTATAAATATATATTTTTTTTCACAAGGGGTGTTTTACAATTTTATGCCACGCGCCAGTAAGTTCAATATTAAAATCCCTTAAGTTAAAAAATCATAGATTGCCAAGTTGATGATTTAAAAAATTGGACATTATATTTAGTTTTTAATATAGATTATATTTTTTCACCTTCATATATATTTAAGGCATTATTCGAACGATTTCAATATGTCTTTTCATGGCGATAAAATTGCATCCCCAATTTTGTACTTTTTTGAACTGATTTATCCCTGAACATGGAATGTATACGCTTTTGAAGAGAGCATTGAATCAGCTGCCATAAAAAATGTGCGAAAAATTTACGAAATTGAATAATGGGGCTCAACAAATGAATATACGTATAATCAATCAGACTGCATTTCATTTCATTTGGACTAAGAGTTCGAGTGGATTCGCGAAGAAATTTCATGAGCCTTTATAGAAAACACAGAGGATAACGACAAGGCCATAATAGTTCCAAGCATTAACAACCTCTCTCATTGGTACTTGTGGATTGTAATGCAAAAGCAGCATATCAGTTTGCATGTTCATTAGTTATGTGAAAGCTCTATTGCAAGTGGGAAAGCAGTTCTATTTAGCATCCTTTCTCAGAAACACATTAGCTGGAGCCTGAATATTATCCAATGTCAGCACAAAAAAGTACTGCAGTAGCTAAGAAATGAAAGAGCTGTATTTGATGCTCACTATAGCGAGTGGCATTCCTGTAATACTCGATGATTTCATAAGCAAAACAGATAGCCTTTGCAACCAAAGATCCATCTTAGATACTCAACCAAAGTCGATTATAAGGCATGCAATTCAGGCAGAAGGTAAAAGTTTGAAATAATTCAAGACTATAATTCTGATAACGATTACGCCAACTATTCTTGCAGCAGTGCAAGAATGCCAAAATATCATGTTATTCATGAAACCCTTGAAAATAACGAATTCCATTTTTAGGCATATTAAAGATTTTGTTTATTTATATAGGCCGCAATGATTGACAATATTCCGTAGCACAATTGAATCCGGTGAAAATTTGATTTGCAATTGATCCTCTGATAAATCAAACATAACAATATATTTATAATCAGCATCGAGAAAGTATGCTACAGAATTGGTAGACGCTAATAAATTGTCTTTTATGCTTCATTTAGACCAATAAAATAGTCAACGCACAACCAGAGAGTAGCGTTTACTTGTCGAATATCAGCAACACCTTCCTCAATTGTGTGCGTTCTGCTGCATTCATCACTTGATTCGCGGCAGAAATGATGACTCAGCATTTTCCGATATAATTCATTTTGGTTCTAGTCTATGCAATTATGCTATTGTGACATTAAAACGAATATTGTACGTCCAGACAGTTTGCCTTTCTGATTGGACGGTTTCTCAAGCAGGTTTGTCCATGATTGAGGCAAGACCTTAACGTGTGTGACAAAAGGCTGTTATTAACTCTGTGTTAGCAATAACAAAGTGCAATAATTGTTGAGTAAATTGAGAAAATGGCTGTTTCCGTATTGTTGAAAATGTCAGAGAACTAAACATTTGTGCCCCTGTATTGACTTACTAAGAGCATACTACGCCGCAGAAGGTAATATTAACACGGAATAAACCACAATAATTTAAGGTATTTCCATTACAACTAAACAATAACTCACAAACTAGCAATGTTATTTCTTTAACGAGTAACAATCTAGTAAATGGGAATTTTGTTAATGTTATTGTAACGAAGTTATCTCCTTTATTTCTATTATTTATAATATTCATTAATCCAACATTGCATGAAACAAATATAAATTCATAAATGTAAAATTACTTCATCTTTATATTAATCCATTGATTATGAGATAATTCAGAACATGAAAGCGGGGCAGCTTACAATTTATGAAACAATTTTTGAAAAATTAAAACGTTGATATGCATCTTTAAATGTTCTCAAAAATAAACTCAATAAATATAGTTTCTAACATTAATCCGGTATGCTATTAAAATTAGTTCACTTTAGAGAGAATTCAAATTTATATATTTCAGTAGAATGAAAGCTTTCCCAGAAAAGTGAATAATTTCATAAACATTTAAGCTTCAACCTGGAATGTCAATGAATGTCAAAGTTGTGGCCACTTATTCAGCAAAAATTTTAAAAATCAAATAAGAAAAAAAGTTTTTCAAATTTTTAGGATAAATTCTTGAGATTTTTTTTATGTTCAGCGAAATAATTTTATGTGCTCACAATATGTAAATTTTATGATAAGCTTGAATAAAAATTTTTAGATCCACAGAAGACTAAAAAAAGAGTTTTGATTTAAGTTAAAAACGATGCATAATCTTGCGATTGATTCAATAGTTATTAAATCTGATATTTGTTTGTCCGTTTAAGATTTAGTTAAAATTTGACCGCCTTTTAAAACGAGATGTCCTTTAAGGCACTTTAATAATAATTCCAATAAAATAAAACTGCTAATTGTGAGCAGAGATAATCTACTAATACATTGAAAATTAAATTCAATTAATGCATTAGAAATGACATCTACTCACCGAGCCACCAAACTTTGGATACTTCGTGTACGACACTAAGTGGCATTACAATGACGGCCACAAGGAGGTCCGCCACGGCTAAACTGAGAATTAAATAATTCGACACGACCTAAAAATAGCAAGCATAGACTAATGTCACTTACTATTGCTGTTTGCAAAATATGCGCTTTGATTGGACTTGTGTTATTTTAAAAAAAAATGATTGCAGACTAAGTTAGAGGCGTCAATTCATTCCATAAGTATTCACGAAAAGAAGTGAGAAGTTTAGGTGTTAGGAAAGAAGTGTCTGAATCAGGTTAAATTCGAATTAACTTCACTCTACAGATAAATGAATTTTATATAACATATGATTTATGTAATGCTCGAGATATTTCGGAAAGGTCAATTATTTTTCAAAATATTGCTAATCTACCAGTCCATATATAATGCTCGTAAGTGACATTAACGTAAGTGGTATGTGAAAACAAAATAAATTTCTTCACGAGAATTCCAGGTAAACATGATTATTTTTTTTAACTTCTTCTCTATGATTATCGACATAGAAATTATTTTTAAAAAAATATTTAAATTTAATTCAATAAGCAATAAATTGAATAAACTGTGTTCCAAATAAAACGCCTTACTATTTATTTTAAATATTTTCAAAATATGCTAAAGGTATTTTTAAAGAAATTGAAATTTTATTTCCATATTTTGCCGTAAGTGGATTAATTGAATGCACTATTTTACTGCATTAATGCGCCTACATAATAGAAAGATTATTTGTTTGAAGTTGGCAATGATAAATAGAGCCTTGATCCAAGTGAATGCGACTTGTAATATTTATCCAGATGTTTTGAGGGTTATTGTTAACTTTTTGAATGCCCAGTCATAAAGATTAGATCCTCTACTTGTTAACAATTTGTAGGATAACTTGGAATTACCGTCTTTAATAGTAGATGATTGTGAAAGTGACATCGTCCTATTTACGCTTGTCTGAATAGTTAATTGAGGAGAAAATTGTTTTAAACCAACTTGGTTTAAAACCCATTCAATTTATAGATAGCCAATGTAATTTGAGCAAAGCTATATATCTGTATATAAACATTAAAATTCAAAATTCAAAATTATTATTCTAATGTTTCAAGTGAGATGGCTTACCCTGAGGTGCCGTTCAGTGAGGACGGCTAGAACGACCAAAGCATTTCCACAAATAATACAAATAATTAGGAATCCAAGAAAGACAGAAACAATATAGAAATGCGTCCAAGAATAGGCGACTTCAAAGCCGGCAATCGTCCGATTATCAGTGTTTGGAGTTGCTCTCCATTCGGGGGAAATCATAGCCGCCATTCTACTAACTACGTTTTAAATGAAGTAATATTAAAGAACAATCGTCATCACTGTGCGCAATAAGGAATTGTGAATTTAGCTTTTTTCAAGCGGGTTATGCGAGGCTCTCATTTTATCCCGCGAGCCATGAAAACCACGAGAATTGACCAGCCAATCAACGTGAAGTCAGAGGTTTGGTTGAGTGTGTGGACCAGTACCGTTCTGTTGTTATGGTTCATGGCCAATTCGCACTGATCTTTGACCAGAACACTGTTTATCTTCGTCCAATTAAGCACTCTAAGCAATATTGTTCTGATGAAATTCACGTAGGCCATTAACATTGCTATTACAATTTTCTTAATTAATCAAACAAATTAGATAGACTTGAAAATAAAATAATTAGTGTTAATAAATTTTTAATTTAAAGTGATTTATTGAATTCCAAATATTACTAACCGATATGCATACATTCACCTTCAATGCTTGTCTGAAATATGATTCGTTAATTAGATAATGACACTAACTTCGGATGACACTTGCGGTGGGTCTTTTTTTAAAATTTCTTATAGATTAAAGATTTGAAAAGAAATTGAGTTAAAAAATGAAATGTCCTTCCTAATAGCTAATTGTTTCCTTACTTCAATAACGATGGTCCGTCTATATTTATATTAAATTTCCATGTAATGTCTTGAAAATTATGCATTTTAAGATTAAAATATTTTTTCTGACAATTATCATTATTATTCAAAATTGAGAAAGCTGATTAAGTTCCGCAAATATACACCGCAACAAAGTAAAATTAAGTTGTAAAAAAATAAAGAGAACAACAATTTATTTATTTATATCAAATGGCAGGCGTTTTGATGGTTATCATTAGCCCTTTAGTTGACTTCAGGCTTCGCAGAGGGGAAGGGACATCAAAGTGAATAAAACGTCGAGAAGGGGGGGGAGGAAACAGAAGAGTGTTTCAGAGACGAAGGTAGAAAAGGTAGAATAAAGGCGGGGTGAGTACTGTGAAAGTAGTCAACTATGACAAACAGTGGGGTGATGGTAATTTGAAGTGAGAAGTCAACTGCCGGTTAATAGACTTTTTTGCCGTATGAATATACGTTGTCCAGAGTGCACCACGTGGAGGTAAGTCTATCGCACACCCCATGAGAACAACAATTAGAAAATTAAAGAATTCAACTCAATTTCCTTATTTAAAATATTAGTAAAAGCTAATAGACAAGGTTCTTTCATTATTTTGGAGCAAATTCTTGTCTAATAAGAACCTAGTAGAAATGTGGTAGATGAAGTTTTTAAGATAAAAATTCAATTAGTAGTGTCATGTCTAAGTGAAGGAAACTATTATTGTCTTGACTCACGGTTGTTTATTTTGTTTGAAATTTATGTAGATGAACTCTCATGGGATCTGAAATTCCCTTATTTTGCCATTTTAATGATGAATTAGTCCCGTTTCTAGGATTATGATATAGCTTATTGCGGGTGTGCATTGTTATTTATTGCTTTATTACTACGGAATCTAATTAGGTAATTTTTTGGATTTTAGTTATCATAAAAGAAATTCCTCTCTTGATTAGAAATAAAATATTTCTAGTATATGTATACAACCATATCACAGTTTTGCCANAGGGCTATATGGTGGGTGTGACAAAACATCCCAACCCAGTTCCAATAATTTTTGCCAAGTAACCAAAGGTGTGTGAGGCCTTGCGTTATCATGATGAAAAACAACACCCTTCCGCCGATTTGATAATGCCGGCCGCTTATCTTCAATTTCATCCTTCAGTTTATCGAGTTCTTCAACATACACATTTGAATTTATCGTTTGGTTCTGCGGCATGAGTTCAAAATACAAAATTCCTTTGTGATCCCACCAGACTCACAGCATAATCTTTTTTGGTGAATCTCTGCTGCTTTTGATACTGTTTGGGCTGGTTGATCTTGCTTCACCCATGATCTCTTGCGAGTAACATTCTTATAAACTATCCACTTTTCGTCGCCAGTAACTAGGTTCTTCCTCGGAAATGGATCATTCTCATTGCGTTTCAGTAGCGGCGAATCACAGATGCTAATCCGTTGCGTCAAATGAATTTCTTTTAACTGGTGAGGGATCCATAAATCAAGTTTCTTGACATAACCAAGGGTTTTTCATTTTTTTCAATGCATGTATGCGACACATTGAGCTTCTCTGCAATATCTCGTGTTGTGCTGTGACGATTTGAATCGATAATGGCCTTGATATGGGTTTCATCTACTTCGACTGGACGGCCAGATCGTTGTGAATTTTTCAGTGAAAAATCGAACGAACAAAATCTTTCAAACCAATTTCGACACTGCCTTTCTTCCTCACCGCTTCATCTTCATATACGGCACATAACTTCTTTTGTGCTTGCGATGCGTTCTTGCCTTTTCGGAAGTAATACAATAAAATGGGTCGGAAGTGCACGTCCTGTTCTTTCATTTTTAAATTGGGATAAAAACAAAGATAAAGAACTAAACAAAAAAAATTTTTTACTAATTAACCTAGAAGCCCATACAGTAAGAAAAAATATAGGTTAGATGCTCCGGCCACGTTAACAAAACAAAAGAAAGTATAGAGTGAATCTGTCAACAAAAACGACAATGACTTAGTTGCCAACCCAATATCATAATTTTGGTAAAACGCTGCCCCACACAGAAATGGCCAGGAGTATGATTTTTTACCAAATTTCTTCTTTTTCAATTAATAATTAATATGAAAATATAAACTTTGACTTTAAAATCTCTCAATAGAAATAGATCATGCACATAGTAGTTATACGATTTGATAAAGCAAAATTATATTCCTAATTACCAAATTCATTCTTTTTCAAATATCTGATTCTTCATCTACGAATCTTAAAGTAACAAGATCTTTAGTAAAATGATTCAAAATCATATTATCGAAAAATTTTAGTTGTCTCAGTAATGGAAACAGTTAATTGATATTTTAATACTTATATCAAATATGGACATCTGTTTATTTTACAGGAACAGTAAAACATGCAAAAATTAATTTTATTTGATTGTTGCTTTTCCCAAATTCCGCAAGTTGTTTCTTTCGATAATAACGTCAAGATTTAAAATCTACTTCGTGAAGAAATAATGAATGAGGAATGAAAATTTTCCATTGTTAATATTAGCATTATGGTTAGTATTTAGAGGTCGGATTTCGGTTCATTTTTATATAATTAAATTACTAATTGATTATTAATTAAAGATTTGCTCAAATAACTGAACAGTCTTCTAAAAAATCGAATTACTAACTCTATTGAAAAAAGAAAAATCGTACGTTGTAAATTAGTATCATTACGGTTGTTAATTTAATTGCCATGCAATCAATTTATTTATAGCTCTCAAACAGTTATGAAACCATCCAAGGGCCAAATCAAAGTCTTCATGTATCTCAAAATTTGACAACTAATTGAAATTGCAGCCCTCTTGCCTCCCTTTATAATCGCTTTCTGCCTCTTTTCGAAAATGTCAAATGCTTCCGCGTGATTAATTATTTATAGGATGATGATGACTATTTGACAGTCATTAATTTTTGAAGACTTTAATAATAAAATTCCAGTTTACTAAACCAGACTTGACTGTTATACTGCAACAAAATTGACCCGCCTTTGGAAATGCCGTTAAAACATTCGAGCAATAAATTTTTTACCCTAGTTCTTTACTTCACAGGCAAGATGAACTAGAACCAATTCGACTTTCATTATCATATTTTCACTCCTATGTTATCTCTATTTTTTTTTTTTAATTGACGTGCCTGTCAAAGGGATTGTTGGATTAATTTCGAGGTTTTTTATGAATTAGTTGACCGAACATATGAACGACTGTATGCCATCACTTTTTTCAATATACTTTGCGCAATCGCCTTTCTTAATGCCAGAATCACTTAAATATTACAAATGCATTTCATTTGAAATGTCACGTGGTGAAATTTGTATAGAAATGCCTTTTAGGAATGGCTAATATTTTTAAAAGCTGCTCTCTCTCTCTGGAATCACAAGCCTTTTTCTCAATGGGATTGCATTCTTCTCAGACATTGTCATGAAATTTTATACAGTTACCGGGAAATTTCGGTTAATTTCCTTCGTGCTGATTAATAAATTGCAATTTTTCTAAATTGAAATTAATAGTCCCGAGAAAAAAATCCGTGAATTGATTGAAATACAGATAAGTGAAATTTCATTTCATTGTGGTCTAAAACGTTTACGAAGATCATAAATCATGTTGAATTAAAATATTTTGGCGGCTATAATAATCAAACTTCCTACACAGTGACAATGCAAATTAATGAAGTTGCACTCACACAAAGCGTAAAAGTCATATCTTCGAACCGTTCCGCCATTAGATGCCTTTAAGATCAGTGTCTTTCGTGAAAAAAAAACATAAATTTACCCTTATTCGTGTATTTAATAACTCACGATGAATGTGTATTAAGGTCCTAATATAGGAAATTGGGGCCAGTAAACACAGTTTGGCAGAGGGATTTGTCATCAGTTTTTTTTCCTTTTCACAAGTTCGCAGAAATTCACCGATTGCAGTGTTCACTGGGGACTTTGTATTTGAATTAGCGCAGAGTCCTCAAAATAATGAAAGCCCAATGCGCCGAGAGTGAATAATTCAATAGCTGATTGCAGTCTACAGTTTAGATTTGCGCTTTGAAAATATATTCCACAGAACATTTTGAGCTAATAATGATGCTGCATGCAAGTGCTGTCACAACACTTGGTGCCTTTGGACATAAGTTACTTTCCCGTCTTTGAACTATTATTTCATTATGTGGGCAATCATTAGATGAGGCTTATTTTTAAATACCAATTTAATGCAGATTTGCCATTGCAAATAATAAGAGAGCTTAAACAGTCAATAAGAATAGGCATTCAACTGAGCTCCAAACTAATATAGTAGCTTTTGAAATTCTACGCCATTTGACTTAAATCCATAAAAATAATATAGTCTAGGAAATATTTAGGTGATTCAATCTTTTT